TTTTATTATAAACATTAATAATTCTTTATATAATATTTTACTGATAATTTTTTTCTTATAATAAAACGATGCTCTAGCTAAATTAATCATGACCAAAAGGTGCGCCAATAATTCCACTCAGGTGAGAGTAGCTTTTGTCGTTTTCCTAATGACGTGGCAGGCATGTACTTCACCAATAACGGACCTAACCGCAAAGGATTTGAAAAATAGGGATGCCACGTCAGGGGATGCCAGCTTGAAGGCAATAATTCCGAGTTCCAAAGAGCATCATGCCATCGGGATTCGGGGGAGAGTGGGTCCCAGGTTTGCCATGATTTTCCGCTGCATGCATCAGTCGTACGATGTGATCGTCTGGGACCTTTTGAAGAGGAGAAGTGCTAGGGGCACTCGCTTTCTGCACTCTCCGGCCAGCACTTCCCCTTTCATTGGGCCACGTAAGCTTCCTTAAGGCTTTCAGGCAAACCTCTCGGAAACCAAAATAACGTGGCCCAATAAAAGAGAAAGTGTTTGCCACAGAGTGCAGGAGGCGAGTGCCCCTAGCATTGCTCTCTGATGAGAGGTGTGGGTTATCGTCGTACGACGCAGTTTTAACCGTTTTACTCGTTGCGTGCAAAAACTTCCTTCTGCATCAGGTTCCTGTGATGGGCTCTTCTTTGTTAAAATGGAAATTAGCCAGTTGTATATGGGCCTACCCGCATTAGATTACTCCTGGCCCACTCCCACTGATCACTTCACTACCACCTGCTGCACCGTATTAAGTATTTTTCATTTTTGAATTGTAATATTGGACACACACGCAAAAAAAAAAAAAAAAGAAGAAGTAAAAATAATTGATGTTAGTCTCTAAAAAATTATGTTGTTCTTCATACACTCTCTTCCATTTTCACGTTATGGCATTGTTATATTTAATTTACAATTATTATAAAATAATGTACCTTTAAATAAAATAATTAACTTATAACGATTAGTTTAATAAAATTTTAAATAGGATAATAAATTTAATTTATAAAAAATATTATTTTATTTTTATTAAAATATTTAAATTCCAACCAATTATTAAAAAACCACAAAAAAATTATATTTCTTTTAATAAAACATAATTGAAAAAGTTCAAAATAATCTCAATTCTACTTTAAAAATGTTATTTTAATATTTATTAATAAAAATTTATAAAAATGATGTAAGAGGTGTTTGTTTTGATATTTTACAACAACTTCCAATTGTTTACTCCAATCAAATGATCAAATATTTTAAGTTATAAACAATAATAATTATAAATCATCAAATATCAATTATCAGTTATATATAAATAACTAATTTAAATGTCTTGTAATTTTAAGAAAAACTCATAATTTTTTTAAAATCTAATTGAAAAATGCTTTTTTCTTTTAAAAAAACATAAATCATATATTTTGATTTTTGAAAGAGGTTGTGATCATTACATACAAGTGGAGAGGTTTAAAAAATACAAGAAAGTTATCTCATGCTTTATAATCTAAAATAAAAAGGGAGATTATAATCATATGTTATGTGTGAACTAATTAGATTTTTTATAAAATTGTTTATTTTGAAACTTACTTTTAATTAATTTGTGCCGAACAAATTCGGTACATGATATGACAAAATGAAGATATATATATATATATATATTTGTTAGGTGTGAAAAGAAAAGATGAACAAAAAATTTGATGTCAATATTATTCATTTTAGTCCAGTCTTAACTAATTTGTGTGAAGCAAATTAAGAAAAATCCCAATTGAAATGGTTTATGAACCGAAAGGCATTCATTGCTCGTGGACTGTCATTCTCATTTCTCCAATTGCCAACCACCAAACCGACGTGGTCGTGACTTTGTGATAAACAAACCATATTTCCACCGCCCACCAGCATCCAGCCTCACCCTTTCTTTTTTCCTCTCATTATCATAACATCTGTTTTCATGGTATTGGTTTTCCCATTAATAACAATCTAGAAACGGCGCAAACACACCGACTTTTTAAAAAAGAAAAAGGAAAAAAATCTTAATCTGATTTCGTTTTAATTATTAGTTCATGGGGACATACCAAGATTGTTTACACAACGTTACAACAAACAAATTTAATTTATAAGATTTAAACTCATTAATTAAGATATTTTTAATTAATTTTATATTAAAATTATAATTTTTTTTTATAGATTTTAAATATAAATATTTTATTTTGTTTAAATTTTATATAAAATTAATTAAAAATATTATAATTAATGAGATTTAATTTATATTTTTAAGATATAAATTAAAAAATCCGAAACTTATAATATATGTAACGTGATTCCCGTGTGATTTTTTTTTTTGTCACGTACTAAAATGCAGAACTAGCTGGTACTCATTTACGTCAAAGGACCATGATTTCAGTTTTGTTTGTTTTAGAACCGAATTGTCTTCACCTTTCCCTTTTTTTTTTTTTTTTTAGTGAAGGAACATGATTGATGTTTTATCCAATGTGCGTTTTTGTTAATTAAGAAATATATTAATGAAGTGGAATGCGACTAATAATGTTGGATACAGTTAATAGCTATATAGCTTAATGCTCTATTATATTTTGGAAAAGGACGAGGTGATTGAGTGGGTTGATTAATGATTTGCCAAACCAATAGATTACTCCAAGATGTCGCATTCGATATGTTCAATCTAGCAAGTAACTAAATATTTTTAGAATTTGTTACGTGTTGGGATATAAAAATTAAAAAGCAGTCATGGAATCATGGAATAATGGGGAATGGATCAAACTTGTGCCCTCCTACAGTAATACAGTCAAAGAGGGTTGGCTTAAACGTGGTAAATTGGCCAACATCGTCAAATTTAATTTGGTATATGTAAGAATTTTTTATACATTTAATCATATTACTACTGCTTTGCATATGCTAACTTTAAAATTTTAGTAATATTTTTTTATTAATTTTTTAATATTTAATAATCATATTAAATTTTGATTAATTCATAATTAATTCATAATAAAATTACATCGTATCTTATGAAAAAAAAACTTTTGTAACATTTATTTTTTTATTTTTAATACTCGAATTTGATATTTTATTTAAGGAGAATAATAAAATTTTAATAAAATTTAATATTAAAGTCACAAGTATTATAGTTTCAAAATTTTTTATAAACAATTAATTATTATTATTATTATATATATTTTTTATTTTACAATTTGATATTCATTAGGTATTTAGATGCGTAGATAACACCAATATCATGGTTGATTTCATCCAATAAGTGGCCGAGTTCACATAGAGTCCAGTCCACGATCCACAAGTTTTTGAAGTGAGCAATGCATCACCATGGGCGAGAGCTCTTGTGCATGTCATATACAAGGCCCGCTCTTCCTACAATTTATTTTGGACTGGACTAATTCCTAATTGGGGCAGGCCCTTTCACTAGAACTTGAGATTAGGGCATAGGCTCTTAAGTCTTAACCATAATGGTTTAAATTGCTGACAATTGACAGGCTACCAACCTATTTAAAACAGAGAAACGGTACCTCCGGGTTAAAAAGACATGGGAATGGAACATAAAACAGGAAAACAGAACCAATGACCTGAAAGCCAGATAAGAAGCAACTGTCTCTTGCTTTCAACATGTCCCCAGAAAGATTGAGGGACGGAAAGATCACCCGTTGACACTTTCCGCCGCAATCCGGAATGCTGTTCCTCCTGCTCTTCCTCTTTCTGGCTTCCTTCTCGCCGGTTAAATGTCGGAATCCCCTTCCCCAGAAATTAAGCATCTTCATCTTGGCTGGACAGAGCAACATGGCCGGCCGAGGAGGGGTTGTCAATGACACCTGGGATGGCGTCGTTCCTCCCCAGTGCCAGCCAAATCCGTCGATCTTCCGCTTGAGTCAGGACTTGGCATGGGTCGTAGCCCGGGAGCCACTCCACTCTGACATTGATGTGACCAAGGTGAATGGAATTGGACCCGGAATGGCATTCGCTAATGCAGTGTTAACCCGGGACCAGGGTATCGGAACGGTGGGACTGGTCCCTTGTGCGATCGGAGGAACCAATATAAGCGAGTGGGAGAAGGGGAGATCTTTGTACGAGCAGCTTGTTAGGAGGGCGAAGATGGCTCTGCAGAGTGGAGGTGCTTACGCCGCCATGCTTTGGTATCAAGGAGAGAGTGATACGGTGAGTCGAGAGAATGCTGAATCGTATAAGGGCAGATTGGAGAGGTTCTTCACTGATTTACGCTATGATCTGCAGGCACCTTCGCTGCCAATTTTTCAGGTATGAACATCGTACTTTCTTCACAATTTACTGCATTTTCCGTTTCGTCAGCAGATTTAATCAACATTAATTCCTAATGTGGTTTTTGAATTAGATATCAAATATTTCTGCATTAATTAGACCTTGGTCCAATAGACTGTTTGATTTATTTTGGGAAAAGCAAGCCAACTGAACTAATCTTGGTAGGTGGCTCTGGCGTCGGGGGAAGGACCACACATAAACATGGTAAGAGAAGCTCAGTTGAGAATTGACCTTCCAAATGTGCACCTCGTCGATGCCAAGGGGCTGCCGCTTGGACCAGACGGCATACACCTCAGCACTGCAGGGCAAGTGAGGCTGGGGGAGAAGTTAGCGGATGCATTCCTTCAGTCCATTACTGTCTCCACTCCATTGAGCAGCAATGCCAAAGATTCTTACACAAAAATTTCTAGTTTTGTAGTTCAGTGGTTTTTTATTGGTCTGTGCACGAACCTTGATTTTAGATAGGTTGATTCATTCATCAGCAACAAATTTGATAAGGTGAGCCAACATTTTATTTTTTATTTTTTATTTTTGTCATGATTAACATGAAGAGCATGACTATATTTTAAGGATTTAGGGTCCACCCCCTGCTTATGGTTTATGCTTGATAGATGATAAAACTGCATTATTGATTCCCTTATATAAAAGATTCGGAATCAAAAAATAAATGTTGAGAAGAAGCCAAGATTACATTTAATATAGTTACAATGTCACATTCTATTATAAATCATTATACATTTATAATTGGTTTTTTTTTTAATTTAAAACTTTACTTATTATATAATATATATCTACTTATTTAATAGGTTAAAACCTCATTT